TTCGTAGAAGACCAATTCAAGGTTTTCAAATGTTGTTGAAATGCGGGTGAAAACACTGTAATATCATCAATATAAGCCTTGGAACATTCAATTGCTCTTGATTAAGCCTTATCCATAAGTCTTTGGAAAGTGGCAGGTGCATTTTTAAGACCAAAAGGTATCACTTTAAACTTATATAGTCCATTATCAGTTATGAAGGCAGTTTTATGTCGATCTTCCATCTTAACAGATATTAGCCAATATCCACTGGATAAGTCTAACATACTGATACAGGTTGCCTCTTACAAAGCCTTCAAAATATCAGTTATATGAGGCAATGGATAGCAGTCAGATTCTGAGACTTGATTTATCTTCCTGTAGTCCACACAGAACTTTCAAATCAATAGTCTTCTTTTTGACTGTAACTACTGGAGAAGCCCAAGAAGAAGTGGAAGGTTCAATTAATCCATCATGAAGCATTTCATCCCCTTGATCATATAGCACTTGTAATTTAGTGGGAGAATAACGATAAGGTTTACTAAACACTATTTTTTCTTTCGTGGTTACAACACTATGTTCAGAAAAGTCCATAAGGCCAGGTTAATTGTTAAAAATATTGGTATATTTCAATACAAGTTGTTTGAATTGTTCACAGTTTTTATTCTTTAAATATGAACATTGTCCTTCTTTAGTCAGTACCTTTTCTGTCTCAGAGTTATGCCTAACAGATGGCACATTTAATTCAAGAACATTTGTGAAGAAGTTAAGGGATGCTTCATTTTGCTGAGTGAAGTGTAATCCAATATGACAAGATACAGCCAAATGTTTGACGACAACAAAACATTGGTTCACAATACTATTTGTTACTAATAGTTTTACTTAGGTGAAGTGTAGGATCATTTCTCTTAATTTGTTGCCATTTTCATTCAGTACTGAATAATATGACCTAGTATCTATATGACCTACTATTTTCATACCATTAATTTTAGGTTTAGGTGTGGCAGATCCATTTTGTTGTTGTTAAATAGTTAATGGAGGGTTTTACTTTCATGGGACTCCTTTCATCCATGCTTTCATTTCCCCACTGCTGTCCTTCATTTCTTTGTTCCCTGTTTACATGTTTTATTCTCTTGAGACTATGGATAGATAACTGCCCTATTTGATTACAAATATACCATTGTACAGGTCTATTATGGTGCTCGGTTTTCAGTATTAAAAGTTTATTATTTATTGTTCCAGTGATGCTCGTATTGTTTAGTAAATTTAAGCACATCAGCAATAGATATAACAAAGTGGTATTCCAAGTATTCACATAAAAAATTATACACTTAACAATTTCTCTTTGTGTAACTAAAGGGTTTCATAAGTTATAAATTTTCAGTTTTCCAAATAAACATCTCAACTGACTCCCCTGCATTAGTGTGGTACTTCCTACTAAAGAGCTCCTAGGCCAAATTGATATTATCTGACATCACTGGGTACAAATTAGTCAATGTTTCTCTAAATTCTCCCCAGTAATCCAAAAGTCTTCCACCATTCTAGTGGCCCTGCCCTCAAAGTAGAAGCCACAATTTCCACCCATTTATTCTCAGGTACTTGACACATATAAAAATGGCTTTCTCAACTTTTAACAATACATTAAAATTTGACTTACTCAACAGGTAGGGGGTGGTGGATCAACTGCGGTATGTAAATCGATGAATCTTCCACAGGTCTGTAGGTAGAATGGACTATCAACATTTGAGGTTGAGGGGAGGGAGACTTAGGTTCTCTCACTAGTAGATCAGTCACCATGTTAGCATTTTCACCTGTTCTGCCAATACTGACACTGCTTCAAGCTTGTCACATCAAACTCACTAACTTCCATAGTAACACAGTTATTTTCAAACAAGTTAACTTATATTTAACTGAACTTACATTATTGCTGAATTAATCACTGAATACCAAATTGAGAAACAGATAAAAAAAACCAAAGTCACAATTCAATCTTTATGAAAAAGGTCCCTTTTTGGATGCCAATGTAATGGTCTAAAATTAACATGCTGTTACAAAAGAAAATTATTCAGCAATAACAACACTTACCAAAACACAGTTAATAAACAAGTGTCTGGCCAGAACTTTACACTTATTTTAATAAACAATATGTCATAAACATAAATACTATTTCAAATAATGGAACCAGGAAAAGAACCAGAAAGAAAATCCTAATTCCAGAAAATAATAATAATAGAGCAAACACAATATTAAAAAAATACCTTTCAATATTAATAACACTATCGAGTGATAAACAACATAATTCACTAACTATCTCATGACTCTCTCTCTCTTAATGAAGCTTCTGGCAGGGTATTTATTCACTGAGTATTCACAACCATAATTAATAAAATTTGCTATCTCACAGTGTGCAGTGATGGCACCACGGCAGTGGTTCAGAAAATAGCAGACAAGCACTTGCCATTAAAAAGATCTCTACATCTCTTGAACAAGCTGGATGGGGCATTGCAAGTTATCATTTAAATTAAATCTTGACCACTGAAATCTAAACTATATAAAATTCTGTGTGAAGAAATGGGTAGTCAGCACACAGCGCTTCTTCTACATATGGAGAAGATGTGGTTGTTGTGAGGCAAAGTGCTTGTGAGACTTTTTGAGCTTCGTCATGAAGTAGTTTGTATTGGTATTTTGTGTGTAATAATAAAATTTTAGTTATTACAGATCATAAAAACTTTTTAAATTGAGATATAATAATACCTTTTAACATGATACATGGAATAACACTGTTAGATGTGGGTAGACCAAGGATGGGAAAATTTAATTTTCTCTTTTATCCAAAATAGTCAACCGCATTGTGCCTTCTATAAAAGTAATGTCCAAATCTTAATAATTAGCATGGACCTTATTTATTATTATTACTTCTTTCTATTGCAAGTTCTGTTGGATATATTAAGTTTGGTGTGAAATTCATATTATTTATAGTTATCAAATCATCTATGTAAAGGAAGTGTAAATGTATAAGTCAGGAGTTGAGTCTGCTTCATAAATGAGTTTTCATAAAAGAACAGATACAGGTTGGCCATATTTAAGGAGAAGTTCATTCCCATTGGAATACCCACCATTTGCTTATATACTTGTTCGTTAAAATGGTGTATATTTTTACATTGAATTCCAATAACTTTAAATTTGGGTATAGTTATTTCATTATTTATAAGATGATCAAACAAATCATTTAAAACTGATCAAATCTTTCAAGTCTATTTTAGTATACAATGTAGTAAAGTCATACGTAAAAATAGAACTGGCAGTTTTTGAAGAATATAAATTATATAAACATTCCAAACCTGAAATGTTATTTGAAAACTGTGTTTTTATCTTTTCAAACAAGACCTCTAGAATATTGTTAAGTACTATGCAGACAGATTTGATAACTGTATTTAAAGTAATAAATCTGAACTTCATGAGACTTTTATCTAATTTTGGAATTGTAAAAAGTACTTGTAGTATTAATTTCATTAAGTAAAATTTGTGCATATAATTTCTTATACACAAAACCAAAATTACAACCAGCTTTATCAATCAGGGTAATAATAAATTGTTTTTGAATTTATTTTATTTTTAAAGACATTGAAAGAAATATCTCATTTTTATTGAGATAAGTTTAAAGTTCTTAATCAATTCTTTATGGAATTAATAAAATATAATTTCCATTCAAAAAAGAAACATGGTGGATAATAGGATTGTTTACTTATTTTAAGAATATAATTATGAATATTGTTCCTTAAGTCTTTTAAGAGTTCAAATTTTTTTGTGTATTTTCACATTATATATGTATGTGTGTGTGTGTATATATATATATGTGTGTATATATGTATGTTTATATAATGTGAATGGTCAGGGAAAACTTAGTAAAAAGTCAGGGAATTTATTTTTTATAGTTCTGTATACACTTTGTATATTTATTCTTTTTCAGAATCCCATAATTTTCAAAACCAGCTTCAGAAATGACTATTGTTTGTACATAGCAACCAACCACATTAATGTTTACTCTATAAAAGTCCACAATGTAAGCTTCATGGTGAGATTTTATTTTGTGTTTAAAGAAACAGTATATCTAGTTATTCATAACAAGTGAAAAGATTCAACTAAGGGTGGCTAGGATAGTGAATTCTACCTTTATTTTACTATGTTTTTTATCATTCCTCCTGTCGTTGAGTTGAACTATGAATTTTTAATTACATCAAAGCACTAACTCACCTTCTATTTAGAGCGTGTTGAGTGTGTTTGTATTATGAAACTGACACAAGCAGTGATATACAGATATTATGTTATGAAAGATTATGTAGATTTATGGTAATAACTGGTCATGTGATATGTAACTTCATGGTCTAACCACTAAATAAAAAGCATTCCTTGATCTTAAAACTGAGTAAGTTTGAGAGATATAGTTAGAAAGAATTATTGTTTGGTATTGTTTTTGATATTGAGAAGTAGTTTTTGAAATAATGTGTTATTCTTTGGTGAATTATTTTTATTTTTCTGGTTCTTTTTACTAATTTATTTGACATTTATTGAAAATTGGTAATTTTTTTTGGAAGTGCTAAAAATAGTATTCCAGTTGTTTGAAAGTTTATTTTAATTCTGTTGTTATATTTAATAAATTGTTTTTGTTTAACTTTGGTTGTAGCAGCATTTTGTTTGGGCCATTGCAAAGTAAATATGGAATGTATAATTTCTATAAAATGTTGCTATTCTTAAATAACTTAACTAGTTCTGTTGTTGTTTTATTTTCCAAGTGACATCTTAGTAAGATTTGGGCTCCTAGAACATGTTTTACAACCTTAGCCAAACTGACATTTAAATCTTTTTTTCCTAATGTAACACATTCATTGATATGTTGGATTTTTAAATATTTATATAGTTAAATAGTTTTTGAACTATATAAAAGTATTACATGCTGATTTGTAAAACTAATGATAAATTGTGTTAGAATAAGCTAAAAGATTCTTTCTGTTTAAAACTTCTAGTTCAAAACCTGTTGCATGGATTTTTCTTCTCAATAACAAAGGTTATTCAGTCATGCCTAATCTTAATAACAATGATGAAGTTTGCAATGATAAAAAGATAGTTCCAATAAAAACTGTGGAAAGTGCCATTAGCACAAATGGTGAGGATAATGATGAGAAAGCTGTCACTCAAATAAAAATAGAAAAACCTATGGAAGTTTTTAAAGCTGAGGGGACTTCATACCCAAGTTTAGCAGTAAGTTCTGTTTATGTTTTATTTTCTGATTTCAAAGTTTTTAAACTTGCTAATACATTGCATAGACTGGCAGAAAAAACTTGCTATGATGATTGTTACTTATTTTAATTAATCAGCATTGAAAGTTTTTAAAGAAATTTTGATAACTTTTTTTCTAAATGTGCCTTGTATCATAATACAGAAATTGATTATCTAAACATTTAATGGTTTTAGGTGGTTGGTAATAGAACTGCTATTTATTTAAACAGAAACCTCATGATTTAAGATAGACTTAGTTTTCCATTTTTCACTGCAAATTGAAAGAAAAGTTCACAAATACTATAACTTATATATAAGTGCCAGGTTCAACACTAAAGGTTATTTTATAATGTACTTCATGATAACTTCATGATTTTTTTTCTGTATTATAAGAACACAAATTAAATTGTGACAAAATATTATACTTTAAACTCGGTATGTTACTAATAATCTCAGTATCTACATATTACATGTATCTGTAGCAAAACAAATAATGAAAACATGTTTTAATGTTGCAGATATGGTTATTAATATTTCTGTTGAAAACAAATCACAATTCCAGTTAGAAAATGTTTTAATGTTGCAGATATGGCTGGGTACTTAATTATTTCTAACTGGAATTGTGATTTGTTTTCAACAGAAATATTAATAACCATATCTGCAACATTAAAACATTTTCTAACTGGAATTGTGATTTGTTTTCAACAGAAATATTAATAACCATATCTGCAACATTAAAACATTTTCTAACTGGAATTGTGATTTGTTTTCAACAGAAATATTAATAATTAGTCAATGTATTATTTTATGTTATTTGAACTTAAAAATAATATTCAGTTAGGGTTTGAGTCATTATAATATTTTTCAACCACCTGCCATGCTCTTTGTACTTAACTAGGCATCTGATTAGATGGCAGTTTGATTTCATTGGTGAAAATAATAAATATAAAAAACTCAAGTATTGCAAGTTAAAAAACCATAGTTTGTCTAGTTAAAAAGTAAAAACACTATAATTTCCAATATATCTTCCTCTCGCAAAATAGCTTTCGTTGATTTGTACTGCTTTCTATATTGCACAGTTTTCACTTGCCTTGATACTCCTACCTACCTCCATTTGTTTTCTACATGGTTGAGCTGCACAGTAGCATGCAAATATCAATCAACAGGAGAGTGACACACCCTCCTAGTGCAGCTGACTCCCTCTGTGCAATAGAACTCAATCATCACTTCTCAATTTGGCATGACTGGGGTCTGACGTCTTACTTGCTTTCTGTTTGACTTTGTGATTGATTACTAGTACTGTTGTGATTTTACTTTCATTTCAACTTCAACAAATTTTGTTTGCTTTTGATTTATTATTGTTTAATCAATTTCATTTGGTTTATTAATAGATTCACATTCATTTTATGTTGTTTCTTTCTGTGGTGTGTATTTACCACTCATGTGTGGTACTATGAATTCTCAGTTTCAAGTCATGACTACTACTACTTCTGAAATTGCTGGTAACCAACCTGTTACAATGGCTTCAGGTTTTACATTATCGGCTGAGGAAGTTTTGACTCTAGTCTGGAAGAAAATGTCCTCCTTCATGTGGATTGTGGCATCTCCTGATCATCAGCCAATTCTTCCCTTCCCAGAGGAGTTGGAACAAGATGATGAGGATGTGGACAGCCTCTACCCTCTCCCTTCCTGGATTTCATGTCACAGGTCTCTTCCATTCTGTTTTTGTTTTCAATGTCTTATGATCCATCCCCTTCCCTTTTAATGGAAGCAACTAATAATGAATATTTTGTCCTCCCTCCTTCTTCTGACATTGGGGTCTACACTGAGTGTTTTGCCAATCAGTTGTGGTCTGAAATTAACATGCCGAATTCCTCATGTGCAATGTAGGCACATGCTTTAGCATACTATTGCTCTGTGAATCCCTTTCTTGACAATCAACACTTGGGTTTGCCACTCTCCCTTTGGGGATTGGACGCCAATACCTTTGTGCACTTTTCTCAAGCACAGTTCTCATGCCTTCAACTAATTCTGACCACTCACCTATGTTACCTGTCTTCCATTCACCTTTTGTCTGAGGCTTTCCATCATTTCTGTGAGAGGTTTTTGGCAGATGCCTGTATCCTCCTCCTCTCCACATTGTCACATCTGTTCTCTTCTGCCTTTTCTCTCCACACATGGCTCCTTTGTTTAGGGACCTCTTAGGTAGGGATGCTTTATTAACTCATATGCATCTCCACCCTACTTTTTTGTGTGACATGTGCATGGCCCCATTTCTGGTGGTCTTCCCAATTCATTGGAGTCTAGAGTAGAATCAATATGTTTACATACAACTCTCTCCTCCCTAGCCACACGTTTGTCTCAACCCTTTCCAGCTACTGCCCCTTACCTGTTCCCTCCTCACTGGTCACAGCATACCGTTGGTCAGCAACTATGGGCCGGTTAATATATAATATAATCCTAGTCCTGCTGGTTTTGACCTAGAGCTGACCTCCCGCTTATGGTCCAACACACCCTAGTCATTTTGCACCAAGGACATTTCCATTCCTTGGGTGCTCCTCTTTTTCCCAACATATTCTTTATTTGTGGACAAAGAGTATACCTGGCTCAGATGTAGCATGGTCTCCCATGGATGTGCTTCTTCTACACTGAATTGGCACACTTCATGGGTGCTCTTCAGATGCCTTCTAAACTTATCTAGGTAATTTTACACCAGTCCCTCCACCTGACCATTGTGAGATTCTAGCTATTTCATGATTAGAGGTAAGATATTGTATTAAAAGTTAATAATTTCCTATACTGAAAATATATTTTTGATTGATACTTACTTCCGTTTACACTTCCCACCCTTACTCCCCACTTTCAGTGTGATTTTCATGTCTAATCTCGAAGTACAGATTAGGTTCTACTGCACTGAGGGAGTCAGCTGCATTAGGAGGGTGTGTTGTGCTCCTATTGTGTGCTGTGCCTTATATCAACAAGATACCTTTACTAAGCCTTAAGCAATCTCCAGTCATGACTTCTTTGCTGTGTACTATACATATATACATTTCTGTGTGAAAGTTAACTACTTAAACTATGGTGATGACAAAACCTTCTTTAAACATTGTACATTTATTACTGCATTAAACTTGTAATAAAATTTTCTTTGTTGTGCATTCAACTCATCTATAAACTTACTTTATGTCAAGTTGTCTTCTCATTAAATACAATTTCTGTAGCTTTCGTAAAGATATAATTTAACATGCAAAAACTTTCACCAATATTAGTAATCTTTTTAGAAATTGTCAAAAAAAACCTCTTGAACCTGTATATTTACTCCACTATGACATGATAGTTTTAATTCTTTCCAATCATATTCAAACATTCTTTATAGCTGTTTCATTAGTAAATGATCAAACCATTTGACATGGTACCATAATAAGGTGACAACCAAGACCAGTATAAAAACTAATGGAACTGCTTGAAAACAAAAAAAAATAGCTAATATATTCTCAAGGGTGATAGGCTCTTAGCAAAAATATTTATTCTTTTGTGATGGGCAGAAAAATGTTAAAAAAGCCATTGAAAAATAGATTGTTTACAGGCAGGAGTCTTTGCAGCTATGCAGAAATGAAAGTATGACCTTTTAAAAAACTTTTCTTCACAAATTACACTAATTAAATTTCAAAAAATGATAAAATGTTTTGGACTTAAAATTGTTGATACATAATTAAAATTTACTTCAAGATTTGTGTCTCAAAACTTTATAATGTCATGAAAAAGTATGAAAAAAATAGAGGAAATTTGGTATTCAAACTTCCAGTACAATAATTTAGTTTGTTTTTTTAATCCTGAACTTTTACATGCATTAAACTGCATTGTTTAATGTTTATAAACAATGAAAGATTTATTCACTTATCAGTCACCTGTTATACAGTACAGTTTCAGTATTATTTGACATGCCACTTATGTATATAACAAGTTGGAGCCATAAGTGTTGTATCTATAACTAGTTACTCAAATGTTTACTTAGTCAAAGTAAACAAATCCTAATATTTTTGGATATACTTCAGTTAGCCAAAATTTAAAAGTCGAACAATATGAAATATTAGAATAATATCAATTTGTTTTGTAAAATATAGCTTTTGTTAGTTATAATTTCATCTTAAAAAGTTTGAAAATCATCAGGGAATAAATAAGAAGAAAACTAGAAAGTCTATTAATAATATCATTTTAAAAGTTATAGTTTTTACAGTAAGAAGAAATATAATTTAGAATGGGTACAATGTTTTGATCACTTGCACGATCATTCTCAAGCACACCAGTTTTAACAGCAAAGAAGATTTTAGTTCTTAAGCCAACATTTGGTAATCTAACAGTGTATTTAAATTAGAATTGATATGGTTATTAATGTACATGAAGTGACAGATTATTTATTTATGGCTGAACAGAAAAATAAATAAATATGAAAATGTGGAATACGTTATGAGAATGATCACATAAGTGATCAAAATGTCGTACTTGTTCTAAATTATAGTTTTCCTTACTGTAAAGGCTGTAATTTATAATAAAGTAATAGATTATTAAGTTAATAAGTAACAATGTTTAATTCTCCACATTAACTTCAGTAATGCATCATTCTTATGTTGATGGTATGATACCATGTAACTTTTTAGAAGTTAAATGTGTAACACTATAACCAAATTTTCCGTATTTTTTGCCTGAAAGACTTCCACTATAGAAATATAGTATTTTGGATACATTATTGTCAACCCTATAGCCCTAAAGGAAAATAAATAAGTCAAAGTTAAAATGTTAATACATTTTGTAAATGATTAACTTGGTTGGATTATAACCCAGCAAGTCTGTATCATTATTTTTATTATTAGTAATGTAATTTGATATGAAAACAGTTAAAAACATAAACATTTCAAAATTTTAACTGGAATTAAACAATTATAATTATCTATAATCATATTTAGAAATAAGATTATAGTGCATTTGTTTGTTAGATAAATTAATAGTTGCAACATACACTGAAAATCTACAATTATAATTATCTATAATCATATTTAGAAATAAGATTATAGTGCATTTATTTGTTAGATAAATTAATAGTTGCAACATACACTGAAAATCTAGATCAGCTGGACTATATTAGGACTACTTTTTATGACACTGAATACAATTTATTAAACACGTGTAAAGGACTTGCTAAAAATCATATTTTATAATCTAACAATAGTTTGATGGTTAAATTTTAAATGTTATAATCAAGTGGATAAAATCTCAAGCAACCAAAATAATGCTTATATGTATAGGACATGGAGATTTTTTAGTACTTGTGTACTAACGTGTAAATTTTATTAATTAAGTAGGTAATATAGAGCTTGTGGTAATGTGCTACTGATGATGTCAATTGAAAACTCGTGCCATCTAATTCCTTATTTTAAAAGCTCTGGTTTAGCATTTTATTAAGGTCTGTTTTGTACAAATATATAATGAGTAATCAATTCATCAAGGCCATGAGCAATAATAATAATAATTATGAATCTCAAAGATTACACATACACACACCCATCTAAAAGATAGATAGATACAGGCCACTATTGATGCCATTAAAACTAATTTGTCCAAAAAATTGGCCCTTGATGTATTTATGGGCTACTTATATTACCTTTATAGTTGCCAGACAATAGGAAAACCTAGGAATTAAAACTCATTAACAACCTGAAGTTTTTAAGTGAAAAATGAATGCCATTTTACAAGAGCAAGTCGCAGAATAAAACTTGTCAACCAGGGTTAATATAACTTGAATTACCAACATTGGTAAACTTCATTTTAGTTGTTTAAACTTAATGTTAATTATTTTATGTTGCAAAGTCCGTATATCAGTAAATACGTTTTTTGTAAGGCAGTCATTGATAGTGTTATTATTTGATTTGTGTAATCATTAGTTTTCCTTTTGGAATTAAAAATGTATAATAGTATGCAACTATGTTTGTATTTAAGATAATTTAAAGGTGAGATCTATTTTCACCTGAATAACCTTAAGAAATACTATTATGTGCATCAGCTGTATATACAAACACACATTTTGGCATATTTGTTGTTCAAAATAAACTTTACATTTTGACCATTATCTAACCCTCTACCATCAAAAACTGTACGAAAATTACTTGAAAATTTTAAATATTAATATAAACCCTGGATAATAAATCCTAACAATTTGTCATAGAAGATAAAATAAATCCTTTTTAACAAATTAGTTAATGTAACCTCTGCAAGAAAAATTCTTCAGTATAAAGTTTCATGTGAGTAAATTTTTTTTTGCAGTAATATAAAATTTTTCCACCTTTAGAAACATTTCATGTTTTTAATATGATTGAAGTGTTTCTGTGATTCTAAAAACATCTGAGTAAAATACCTTTCTTTTTTTCATAAATTACATTAAAAATTATGATAAACATGATAAAAGTTAAATATTTCATAACTCACTTTTGGGATAGAATAGAAATATAGATTTATAATAAGAACGCGACTGATTATTTATTCACATATCAAAAGCTGAAACAATCAGTCGCGTTCTTATTATAAATCTATATTTCCATGAGAAGAATATTCACTTTTGATATGTGAATAAACAATCAGTCGCGTTCTTATTATAAATCTATATTTCCATGAGAAGAATATTATTCACATATCAAAAGTTGAATATTCTTCTCATGGAAATATAGATTTATAATAAGAACGGACTGATTGTTTATTCACATATCAAAAACTGAATATTCTTCTCATGGAAATATAGATTTATAATAAGAACGCGACTGTTTGTTTATTCACAAAGCAAAAACTGAATATTCTTCTCACGAGTTGCACATTTATTAAGTAGGGCATATGCAGTAGTATGTACAGCACAAAACATTTTAATTTTATTATTATTTATAAATGCAAAGTTATTGTAATTTGAAGAATAAGTATCATCAGCAAATAAAGTTGCTATTATGATTCAAATATGTTATTCTTCTTTGTTACATCAGTATTGCCTGATGAGTTTCCTGGTGGGCCATCTAAACTCAGCCTAACTTTCCAACAGTCAATAAACAATGAATAAATCTATTTAAAAAGAAAACTACACAGCTTGGAGGGTTTCTGCAATGCTTCATGTATTATTGTTGTATTCCATTCAAGATATTATGTGTTTTAAAATATCTAGAAAATTGAAGAGTCTACAAATGATGATGACATATCTGAATCAAGTATGCCAAAAGGGTGGGGTCGAAAAGTTGTGCAAAGACAGTCAGGAAAAACAGCAGGAAAATTTGATATATACATCTTGACGTAAGTATAAATTGATGTCCAATGTCATGAGTATGCATTAATAAATAGGTAATATGGATACATCTCATCTAAAAATACGTTATTCCTGAGGTTTGAGAAAAAGACAGTTGTATAGTGTTGCATTTTACTTGATAGTGAATATAAGTGCAAGTCTTTAAGCACATTTCCAAGCATGGCTTAGTGGTTGAGTTGATGATGGATTCTGTTGACCAAATACTTACCCTCTAGTCCTGTGGAGTGCAAAATGTGGGAGCAGGCCCCCTAAAGGAGAAATGGAGAGTTGATGAGGTTGGGGGACACAACTATGACTATAGGAGCACAGGAATTATATTTGAAATTGCAAATTTAAAAATAAAGTGATAAAAACTATCATACAAATATTACTATAGTAACGTAATTATCATGGAATATTAAATGTACAGTATATACTCAAATGGGTCAGAGTGGGGAGCTGTGACAGTGTGTGATTTGTAAAAGAAACAAATAGAGGTTAATTCCACACCAAAAAGTAAATAGGAAGCGAGGCTACACAGCCCAAATGTTGTGTTTTTCACTCTCTTTCTTTTTACTTTTAAGCATGGAATTAACTTCTCATATACAAAAAAAGTTTTGTATGCAACAGTTTTATAAAAACGGGCAGGTGTATTCTCACTATAGGCATACAAAATCAAATTCTTTTTTCTTCTGGATAGTGGTTATTGGCTGTCCCAAAACACTGCACCTCACTGTTTACTGGCAATAATTTGAAATCTGTAAATTACAAAACAGGGTAGTTGCCCTTCAAACTACTAATTGTTTTGCCTTATTTTTTTAGTGGAACTAAATTCACCTGTTATGCTGGTCAACCATTGCTGAACCTGGTTAATTAATATTTCATTTTCCTCTACTTATCTTATTAAAACCTCAGTTATTTATTGTTTTATCTTTTTTGCATTTGTTATTTTAACCACTAGCTAAAGGAAAGATCTTACTAATTCAGCATAAAATGATTGTTTATGCTGTTTACTCATCACAAATGCAACTTTCAAAATCTTATTTTATTAGAAGTATTCAAAAACCCAGGCAACAATTTCTCTCTCTTAATCAGGGCACAGAGATGCATTAGAGATGGTTAACAAGAAGCCCTAATTATCATATTATAATGTTTATGAACCAATGATATGAACATGTAGCTATAATCATAGTTTCATTACATGCAAAAAGCATTCTGACTGTTGATTTGATGGCCAAGATTCCAGTCAATTATCAGTTGTGTTAGTTCCAAGACAATATTATGCAGCAAAAGCCCTCCACCAATAAAAGGGCGACACACCTCCTTTTACATTAACTCCCTCTATGCATTTGCACTTGTGAATCTTCATTCTCTTCCTTGGCAGTGAATGTTTCAGACATGTTTTGTTTTTCCAATTTACCAAGACTTGCTTACTTTATTGAACTTCATTTCCTTTTCATGCTTTACACTATGAACTCACCAGTTTATGTAATATCTTCCACTTCTTGTGTGAGTGAGGAATTGTGCGTAAGATAGTGGGTTCTCTCATGCAGCCAGGACCTTCAGTTCCCATCCATTCTTCAGATGTTCCTTCCTTTCCTTTTGAAGGGGAGAATAAGGAAGAGGACAAATTCTCCTGATTATGCTTTGGGAACTTCACTTCATGTTGAAGATAACACTCAAATGTCCTTGCATTATTGGGAACTAATATCAAAAGTATGTACCATTCTTTTTCTTTCCCATGTGTCATAGGACTCTTCCAATTCCCTCCTTCACAATCCTAACTCTAATGATTTTTTGTTTTCCCCCTTTCTCCTGATATTGGCATTCACACTAATTCCTTTCTAGATCAACTACATTCCTATGACCTTATGCCTTGTCCTCCTTCTCTCTCTGATTATTTTATCCTGGCTTATAGTCATTCTGACTTCTCCTTTTTCAATCCCTAAAATTTAGAATTTTTCTTGCTTTGGGGGCAGATCATTTGGGGTCGGTTTCACTCTCCACTGCCTAGTTTTATCTTTAGCTGATCCTTCTTTCTGTGCTTTGTTACCTCTCCTCTCCACACCTCATGTCAGAGGTACTTCATCATGCCCCTGGTGATTTTATTGGCGATTCTCATTCCCTTCTCTTTTCCACCATGACCTGTTCTGCTGCTTTTCTGCCCACATGGGTCATTTGTAGTTGGGACTTTATGGGTAGGAATACAGTCCTTTCCCAAATTTGACTTATTTCTTCCTTCCTACTAGATCTCCACCTTGCTCAATTTCTTTGCTCTGAACTTTTAGGTATTTCTGATTTGGTTGAATTAAGGGTGGAGGCTGCCACCATCAATCCACTCTTTCATCCTTAATTTCCAGATTGTCCCAAACCCCACCTTCTGTATCTTGACCTAGTCCCTCCATTTCCCTTTTTCCCATTCCCATTCCTTGATTTTCCTCTTCTGTCCATCCAGCTTCTTCTTAATGTCAGACTCATCGAGATCATTGGTGACTAGCAAGTTGGGTCGGGTCCCATGGGGGCCAGTCTATCACAGTTTGTGCACCTGTGGTCACACCTTTCAACAGACAGATGAGTTACTCCAATTCTCTTCCTCTCCACCTCTCAGTTCTCAACCTGTCACCTTTCCTCCTCTATCAGATCCCATCTATTGTCAACATCCAGAAGAGGCAGTGTCAGATCTGTTACACAAACAGGCCATAGAGAGAGGGTGTGTGATCTTACACCAATATTTTTTTCTCTGTCTCTTTGTGGTCCTCAAAAAGCCTGTGGACTAATGTCCAATTTTCAGCATTTTCTTCCCCATTCACTTAATGATCATTCCTCATTTTTGTATGGAAAATTTCTTTTCCCTCCATTGGTTCTTTTCACCCAGACTAGGAATGACCAAGATTGATGTTTCAAATGCATTCTTTCACATCCCTGTTACTGTGTTTGGGATCTTCAATTTGGCATTGTGTTGACCTCCTACCTATTCAACTGCATAGTTAGGGCCTTCACTTACCATCTACATGGACTGGGAATATGATACCATTACTACATGGATGATTAGCTTCTACTGTACTATTCATGAGAAGAGGTTTCCCTTCATACCTCCTTTCTTCTGAGGGAAGCCACCTGTCTGGGGTAGCTCTTCAAAACCTTTCACACTCCCACCCAATACCTTGTTCAGTAGTTTTATTCATCTCCTTTCTCAGATACGTTCACTTTTCTCCTATTCACTTGTGAGCTCTGAAACTTTCAGTCACCAGGATATATACCTTGTTTACTCGTACTGTATGAAAGGTTCTATTGCTTTTGGGGACCATGGCTTTACTGGAACATTTATCACTTTGGGTTGTGCATATAAACACCTCCTCCAATGGTCTTTGCATGACCATAATCGTCTGTCATGTGCCAGGAACTATGAACATAGTTGTGGACTGCTCACAGAATGATTTCTTCACCCTAATGTTTCCTGGTGGGTATCCTCTCTAAACCAAATCCTGCTGTTCATTGCTACTTAGTTCATACCTCTTACTTTTGAACCGATACCTTAGCTCTTCTCACATAACAGCTTTTCTTGATTAATACTGCCCTCTATATGTGCAATTTTTGCTTGCCACTAGCCTTGATTCTCTCACCTACCTCCACGTGATTTGACATGATACTGCAGCACTTCAGCATGCAAATAAACATGTGACAACCCTCCACCAATAGGAGTGCAACACACCCTTCTAGTGCAGCTGAACACCT